AATATTGGGAATCATTCAGGCCCCCGAAGTATAGCTTTCCCAACTTCTTACAACCCCAGGTATCCTCAACGTGTTATTATATGTTATTCTTACTGTTACTATTCCAGCAACATTTTTTAGTTCCCCTAATTTCTCAACATAGGGGGACACAATATAGACCCAAATATATCATAGTCCTTACTTATTATAGGGACCCCCAAAAGGTACTGCCCCATTCTTATTGTTCTTGGGACCAGCGTCTGTGAAAGGTGAGCGCATCAGATCTCCCACCGCAAGAAAGTTGGCTTCGTAGTATCTTGGGCTAGGGGCCCAAAAGGGTGGTTGTCAGAATTCTGGTCCCTTTTTGGATCCCTACTATAATACGGCACCTAATATTTAGGGTACCCAAAAGGGATCATAATTTTAACAACAACCCATATAGACCATGGGGTTTCAGGTTTCGGGCTGAGGTTTAAATTTCATGTGAGATGCTGTCAGTACTAGGATTGCCAAGGGACCATCAGGGGTGGACATAAGGGCCTTTCTTGTAGTTTAGTATAGTCCAAAATTTAGTCCCCAATAAGGAACCCACGTCCATTAAATTATGCAGGAAAGAATGACTGTAGCTCATGTAGGGATTAGAGTTTAGGGCCGTAGCTCCGTAGCTTGCGTTCTCCATTTCTAAAAGCTAAACGTGTTTCTTTCGCAGCCTGTAGGGGAATCCCTCAGGCTCCAAGTACCCAATAAACATATACTTACCCCAAACCTGTACTACAATTACTAGTACCCAAACAGCAAGTACCCAACTAATGGGTATATGGACCCTTACGGAATGGGAACTCAGGCATGGTGACGCACCCTCGCTTCGACGTCTTCTTTTCCCTTGTGGTGTGTCCTGGATCACTGTTAGGACGATTCTAGCCGTTTTCATGCCAATGTTGAGATGCAATTCGCTGAGAGGCGAATTTCGCAAAAGTGCTGGGTTGCTGTACAGGATTTTTTAGGTACAATAATAAGAAAGTCCTTTTATTTGCCGTATACCCTGAACAGCAACCTGTCTCAAGCAGCTTCCTGATCCATCTAGACCATCACGTAATTCCAGTCTTCTTTCCGTGTACTATTTTCCTTTCCTTTTGACACTCCCGCAATCTCCCCCTATGTAACCCCATATGTTCCTAAACCCTAAACCGGGAGGTTATCAGATCATGAGCGCTTGCCCAGGGTCACGAACTCCATCTTCATTGGCATCGATGTGCAATTGAATCCAGCAGCTTTGGACGCTACCCCGCCCGCTCTGGTGGTCTGGCTTGTCATTTGGTATATGTATAGATAAGTATATGTATGTATATATATATATGTGGTTTAGTGTTTAGGGATATATATTTATATGTATGAGCGAAAGATAGGGATACCAAACCCCAATAAGAATGGAGAGTCAAATGGGAAATGGCATGAAAAGTGGGTTTATGAAGTCAGTTAGATGTGACTTTAAGTGCCTTTTGTTTGGTTGATGGTACGAGGCGCCTCAGGGCTCCTACCTTACCCATCAGATGCTGTTCATATAACTCTATTGAAGGAGGGTTTACCAGGGCCGGACAAGTTGCTGGAAGGATATACATCACTTACGGCTCAAAGTTTAAAAGCGGGGGGTCCCAATTGAAACCCTGGAACATGAGAATCCTTTCTCTAGGACTCCCGAACAGGATGCCGCTGGCAGGCTTAGAGCTTTGACGTTCGGTTCAGGGTCAAGGGTTTGGGGTGTGCACTTGGCGCGTCTTCATGCGGGCCCTGTGGTTAGCTCCTCCTGACTGACGCCTGCTCATGACAGAAATGTTAATTACGCAGTATACTTAATTAACACAGCACTCAGAGTAACAGTGCCATAAGCAAAACATGGACGAACGGCAGCAGTCAGAGTAGTAAGCAAGACGGCATGGGCAGGCGATCGTGTGGTGGGTAAAGGGCCTCCGCCAGTGAAGTGTGCAGGGTGAAGAGCGTTTTTTTTTGTTTTCCTGTAATTTCCGTGCGAGCGTGGTGGAGCATTGCAATCACATCGCAACCCAAAGCCTACCCAGGTGGCGATACAGTACTTCTACACCTTCCTCTTTTGCATGGAGTTGGTCCTTCGCGCACTTGCCCTCGGCAAGGAGTATTTCTGCGGCAAGGAGTTCATGGGTTACCTCGATTCCTGAACCATGTCATCAGAAACCTATAAAATTACAAATAAACTCAGGAATGATAGCAACAAGAATGCTAAAGAATTGTAATGGCTCCTTTCTGTTGATGGTTCTCCGGTCAATCGCCGAAAGCATTGCTCACGAAGTTATCGTTTTCGGTCCAGAATTGCAAGACATGTTCTTGAAAAGAAGCGCAGTGTGCAGGAGTGGGTGTGGGCAGCCCTCGATGGCTTCATTGTTGCCACCTCCCTTTGGGAAGTCTTTGTAGATACCTGGTATGCTCTCGTTGCCACTCGGCCACTGGTTTCAGGGAGGTTCTCCAATAGTCCCCTTTCAGTAGCCATGTCATTAAGACCATCATGTCGGACTACATGGCGTGGCCCTCGGGGGGCCTCAAGCCCCATGAGGAAGCAGCCACGAAGATGGGTTCTTGTCCAAGAGACTTCCTTCTTCATGTCTTCCTTTGCGCCATAGTGTAAACGCCTTTAAGAGGGGTTAGATAGGAGTTTATCTAGGGCACTACTATATATCGGGGCTGTTGACGGGGATCCTAGGAGTTCAGGCTATAGCTCATATGCGAGAATTTGGTGCCAATTGCATGAGGCAGTCTTGCATAGGTGTACAGTACAAAGGATTCCTTACTTGATTATGGTCAGTCTTGTCACAAGTGCATGATGTACACACGCATCACCATGTATCCTAGCATTTAACCCTAAGGCCTACATAACCCATTACAGTGGTTTCCATTTTCTTTTCGAATATCCGCATGTAACCCCTATATAAGCCCTATTATACTGTAGTAGTTTCCACTTCCTTTTCCATTATCCCCATATTAACCCCAATATATACCCTATAATGTGGTAGTTTCCACTTTCTTTTCCATTATCCCCATATTAACCCCAATATATACCCTATGATATAGTAGTTTCCATCTTCTTTTCCATATCCCCAAATAACCCCAATGTTACCCTAATGGGTGATTCTCAATCCCACTAGATTGAACGGGAAGTGTCGGCACGTGGCTGAGGATGATGACTCGAGCAGTCTCGAGATATTTGGTGGTCTCGCCGGCCTCAAAGCCTTCAGGACACTTTGCAGAGGGATTTTTCGACGCAACTTCATCCTCGTGTGATGGATTTGCAAATAGTTGCAATATGATGCAAGTCTGAGGGGAGTACGCACAATCATAGAAACCTTGACAATCAACTTGTGACAGGATTGTGCGTATCACGCGCATTGTGAAGACTGTGCGCCTGATGCGCATTTTCAGATTCGTCCTGGCACTCCGAATGCTGGTCCACTCCATCCTTCATACGCTGAAAGCTTTGCTGCTTTGCTGAATGGTGTCAAGGTGGAAGGTCAGCAATACGTATGGCAGGAGGCATCATCAGCAGCCATGACTGGGGAAGAGGGGATGTTTCCTTGGGATTGTTGTGGGTCCAATGGTATTCTCAGGCAACTGCCCTCAACTGAGACCTTCCCCAAAATACAAGTACCTCTACGAACTGCGAGATGGCATAGTCTGGGCTAGGACTCCCCCGTCTGAGAACCCTCCTGCTGAACCTGCAGTGCCTTTAAAACGGGAGCTCATTCAGAAGGTCTACGTGCCACGCATCGTTACACATCCATGTAAGCCATAGTCTAAACTCCTAGTATCCCCCTTAGTAACCAGTAGTCCCCTATATAATCCCTTATATATCCCCCCTTTAAGGAGTTTAGACCCAAACCCTAAACCCTAAACCCTACATAATCCCCTATATAATCCCCCAATATACCCCCCCTTTAAAGAGTTTAGACTATAGCTGATGTAATCTCCCCTAAACCCTAAACCTCATCTAACCCCCCCCCCCCAAGAAGCTGCCAGGTTCTGGGCCCTGGTGCTTCTTCTTCTCATCATCTATGCTTCTTGGCCTTAGGGTTTTGGGTTTAGGGTTTAGGGTTTAGGGTGCTCTTAGGAGGACTTCGACTTTTAGGGATTCCTATTTGTATGTCTTATGGTAGGGGGAGGCTATAAGAGCTGAATTTTCAGGAGCTGTCCTACAGCCAGCTGAGGTTTTCGCACTTATCTTCACGCAGATTGTCAATGGCAGCTTGGCTGTCAAACCGTGCGCCGCTGCTCAACTTGGGAGTTTCTCAAATCATCCGAAAATCGTGAAAAGTCGCGGAGCTTGAATTGAGCTTGGTCGAGGGGCACATGTGCCCGTTTTCATTATATACCCTTTAATCTCTACATAACACGTTATAGTAGTTTCCATTTCTGTTTTCCATTATCCCCATATAACCCCTAATACTACCCCAATGCAATATAGACCCTAAACACTATATAACCCTAAACCCAATATAACCCCAATATTACCCCAATGGGTAGGGTCTCGACCGCTGCCCTTGCTGCTCGACCCACGCCGAACTTTGACTACAGCAATCATTGCTGCTTTTTGTAGCTCTAAGCTGCTGGCACCACTATATGATAATAGGGATTATATATAGAGTTATAAGGGTGTAATGGAAAAGAAAATGGAAACTACGATGTTATAATCGGGAAATATAAGGGTTATATGCGGATAAGTGAAAAGAACATGGAAACTATTATGTTATAATAGGGATTATAGATTGAGGTTATATGGGGATGATGGAAAAGAACATGAAGATGATTATGCTATAACAGGGATTATATATTGGGGTTGTAGGGGGATAAGGGAACAACTGGAAAGTACTATGATATGATAATATAAGGGGTTATATCGGGATAACGGAAAAGAAAATGGAAACGACTGTAGTGGGTTATATAGGGCTTAGGGTTTAACCCTAAAGATTATCTTGTTGATGCCCGCAGATATATGAACCATAGCATCATACATATGTGGCGCTAATCCGATGAACTTACACCCTAAACCCTAAATCCTATCACCATCCCAGTCCTCCCCCTCACTCCACAACTTGCTTTCGATTGGAACCGCCAGCCTTGACATGTCCCCAGCCCGGATGGACTATTGCACCTCATAGGCCCCTGAATCTAACCCTACGCCTTAAACCCTCAACCCTAAACCTTACATGCTGACTTACTCCAAAGTGAGATCCCGGACCGGACAGTTGTTGCCGTGCCTGCCCTGTGCGATGCGCGTGTCTAAACCTTAAACCCTAAACCCTACCCTCATATTTGGCCAGTTACAGGCTTCAGTAGCTTAGGTCACATCCGCGATCCAGCAGTTGCGCCGCTGCCCCCTGAAGAGCTGGAGACCAGCATGTGGCTTTGACCAGTTGAGACCATCGGTTTAGGGTTTAGGGTCCAGACTCCTTAAAGGGGGTCAAAAAGGGGATTTCAGAGGGAACTACAAAAGGGCTTATGAAGGGGGATACTAGGACTAGACTATGGCTCATATGCGTAGAATGTTTAACTGGGTTTATCATAGCCCCAGTGCATGGAGTAAGATTGTATCCTCCGCTTGTTTATGGCTTGTGTTGTTTTTAATAATCAAACATGACTTATATTGGGATGTCCAGACATTAGGATTTAGTTTCTGAAAGTTGCTCTCCTGGAATGCTCAATGGGGAACCGCATAATCACGCAAAGTACTTCCCATTTTCTTTTACAAACCTTTAGAACATACCCCTACATACTCCTATATACCCCTACACATCAAGCCCTCCACAGATTCGTTTCCGCCAGTTCGAAGCCTTTCGCGTGATTGTAGACAGAGAGAAAGGTCATTCTACGGTTCACTGGTGGACACAATGGTCAGCCTCTTCATGGCCGTGACTAATGGGGTGGGATGGGAGATGCTTGGCCATACAATTGCCAGATCGTTGCCTGGGTACTGTAGCGTCCCTGGAATTGACGCATGATGTGGTAGACATTTGAGTCGCGGAGGCAGCTTTGGTGGTGGTGCGCGGGCACTTGCGGATGTGGTTACTCCAGTTTCCTTCGCCAATCACCCTTCAGTCACTGTAACCATAGCTTCTGTCATGGCCACAAGAGAAGATTTCTTGCAAGGACTACGACAATGCTTTGAACGCTGTAGTTGCTTTTGCGATTGTCTTTCCTATGTTATTTGCGTAATTGATCATTTTCTGATCATTTCTGATTGTCCCGTTTGTCTTGCGGGAGGACATGGGGTTCAGGCGTATTGCACGACATGGGAAGACATGTAGACGAAGCACGTTTGTATGCAAATCTGTGTGATTGAAGGAGGTGGTTCTTACTGGTGATAACTTGAAGGCTGTAAAGCTACAGTAGCGGGTATGTCAGCACCATGTGAGCTCAGAAACAGCATGACTCTTGAAGAGCTCATTTTAGTTGTTTGCGAAAGGATCCTGGCGAGTCAGAATTTCAAGCGTTGGCGTTAGCATCGCCCAAGGTGTCTCTGTCCCAGAATAAAGCCCTGCGCCATAGAGCATGGGCTCACTCTGCTCTGAAGTAGGTAGGGGAAACCCAAATCAGTAGCAGGCAACCTCCTGTAGTCTCTTAGAGTATTATACATGGCACTGGTGTGCGTGTGCTTGTAGGATTCCTACCTGGAATCCCGAAGCCCTGTATCCATTTATGAGCTACGGTGAGGAGTAGCCCTATGAAGGGACGCTTGACAGTGGACGTAGGGCCTTCTTGTAGTTCGTATAGTCCCTAATGTTGTCCCTAATTAAGGAACCCATGTCCATAAAATTATGTAGGAAATATTGGTTGTAGATCATATCATCCCAGTTCCGAGTAGTTTTCTGTTGTCTTTTCTGTGTCGTTCTCCACTACTGGAATGGTAATCTCACTGGCCCCGAAACCCTAGAGTCTACATATCCCCATACACCCGTATTACATAATATGCGCATGCATATCTACTATATGCACCCTATATCGCCATTGACGCTGCCCAAGCCCTAAGCCCCCCCAAACGCCAAGACATGGGATCTGAACTCTTTGTTGAGGAGGCTCTACCGACCTCTCGGCTCGATCTCTCACGTCTGGAGCTTCCTGTTCTGGTTGCTTGGTGACGCGTTAGGGTGTGTTTGTGATGTTCTAGGTAGGTAGGCTATAAAACATCAGTGCTAACTATACTGTGACTGGTAATAATCGAGGGATACGCCTCACAACTTGAGTGGTGATGTTGGAGAAGGTTTGCCGCAGTTGATACAGCTTTCGTAAGGGGCGCAGCTTGGAGTGCTTGAAACGGGTGGAGATGCGGCACTATCATGACACGTGCGAGGAGTGCAAGAGCTGACCTGCAGGGCCCTAAAACCCCAAACCCTAAACCTTAAACCAACCTGTAGCATGAAGACAGTTGAAGATGGCCGTGCCCAAGCACGCTCGACAGGGTGGCCATTTTGGCTCAAGGCTGCAAGCCGCAAGTTCATCTACCAGATAATGTTGCACTCTCTTTAACATCGGAGCCCGCCCCCATGCCCTAAGTAACAACAGGGCCTTCAGAAAATTAGGAATAGATCGCGAGCCAGGGGTGGTTCAGAGAGCTTCAGAATGCAGGGCGAAGCTTCGACGCCACTAGGTTCGGAGTTTCAGAAACTTCGGATTCGATTAAAGGGCAAGATCTGGATTTTGCTGGCGCCCAAACCAAAGCCCATAAAGAAGGAGTCTGCAAACAATGGCCTGAAATTTCTTTAAACGGCCGCGAAACAGTTGAAAAGTGTCTCTAAGAAATTAAAGTGAGTGCACATGGTTTTGTCAGGCATTGCTTAGGATGGCTCTATCTGTTCTACCGATTCTAATGCCTGCGCGGGTTCTTGGCCACGTCCCGTGGTCTAAGCCAATGTGGCTCAGGGTAAAGAACGTCAACTGCTGAGCACCAGAAGCAGGCCTCGGCTGAAGTGCACTTTTCCTGCGTGGGACCAAAGAAAGCCTTGGAGGGAGGGAATACTCTCGGTGATACCGCCTTGTGAGCCGCTGCACATGTTGATGGTAAGCTGGCGCCGGATTTCCTTGTTTTTTTCAGCACGCAAGCAGACCAATTGGTGGCAGCGCATGGCACTCCACCTTGTGCCGCATGCCATTTTGGTTGAAGGTCTCGCTGATTGAAATATATTGGAATCGCTCGCCATCCCATGACCTGCGCCCATGCTGGGTCTTTTGCAGACGCTCAAGTGGAACCGGCCTTTTTTTGGCTTGCCTGAAATGAGGCAATGGCCAGGATTGCGCCAGCAGGCCTGCAATGCACAGTTACGGTTGCCTTGCTTGCACGCGACTAGGTTGTTTTGCCCGTGGAAACATTCATAGGGCTTGTGCAGCCCAAAGAGCCCACGGCTGTGAAGACGATTCAAGTGGCGATGACGCGGCTCGTGGTAACGTCAGTGCTTGGCCTCCAGGATGTGGATCTCCTAATGATCATTTGTGCTAATGTCGAGCAAGCACCAGTGGCTTCGGGACCACCGAGCCCGGCGAGCAGATGCAGTCTTTGATCAACCGGACGAGTCGGAGGTGTTCGCACGATGTTCCATTCATTCCTGCTGGCTTTCGTGCCCAACGAACGACGCTTTGACAGCCCAGAGTTCGTTGCCTCGCTACAATGGCGCTGATTGCGATACACAGGTGCAAAGTGCACAACTTTATGATGCTCATGATTATGGTGATGATGATGATGATGATGATGCCCGCGTACCACATGGACACAAGGGAAAGCATCTCATTTAAACTTAACAGTTTCATTTTATATTGCAGCCCCTGTTGCTCAGCTGCTGGGCAACGTCGTGCTGGGGCCATTAAATTTTCATGGAAGGCTCCAACGTGCAAATCACACTTAAAAGCTATCTACACTTTGTTTGAGTGAGAGACGTGATGATGCACGGGAATTTTGGTTCAGGATTCTTAACTTAGCCGAGGCGAAACCAGCCTGGCGGCAAAAAATGGAGTTGGATACCGTCTGTTGGAACCGTCTGCTGAGCAGCTGTACGAGGTTAGATAACACGCAGAATCCTGGTTGCGCTGCCACGAGAAAAATCGAAAAATGACGGTCCGCTGAGAACATTTAATCTGTTGCTGCGTTGTTTTCGTAAGAATGCCATCAAGACGGGACGGGATCATTGTCGAAATGGTAATTTTTATTTTGGGGCGATTGTGCTTTCAATGCTGATAGGCACGTGCGAAACATGTCAAGCTTGGCGGGGCAGGGGCTAGTGTTTCGTAAGCCTCCCGTATCACAAGTGCTGTCGGTAATGAGGTAAGAAGATCGAGGCCCAGAATTTCATGTTGGATGACTTGAACAATTTGCAACCTGCACAAGCTGAGGTTTTATATCAGTTTTGTTTTCTTCGCTGTCTTGAATGTGCTGACTGCGGTATTCTGTGCCTTGCAGCAATTACGCCGTGTGGTTGGTTTGCGCCTTGTAGTGCCCACGTCATCCACCCCAGCAGCGCGAGCTGCACTGTACTGTGTTCACGATGGTCACGTTGCATGCCAACTTCCTATTGCAGTGCACAACAAGTTTTCTTTTTGCCGACGTGGATTATGCGCCCACTTGCCACTGAACATTCCAGGCACGTATACCCTTAATGTATTGACAGTCGTGTGCAATTGTTCAACCGGCATCATATTGTATGATTTATACACCATAGCTGCGCCATGCAAAAAGTTTGAGTCGAGCTTTGCTTAGTTGGTTCTGCAACACGTTTTTAGATTCAAGCGGGGAGGTTAAAGCCTGTCCGGAGAAGTAATTTTGGGAGCATAACCTTACAAGGTCAGAGCGCCATTGAGAGCGCACAAAACGACCATGCGACAGCCGTGCAAAACATGGAGGCCAACAAGGCCACACAGCGCAATGCTCAAATTGATGTTGAGGTATCCGCTTTAGTTTGGCAAGCCCCACAGTGCAACCCTGAAAAGGCCATTCAGTCCAGTTTTTCTGCGCGTGGCAACAAAACTGGAAAGGGTCCGTTCAATGGACACCATCTATAGTTCAGAGTAGACCGTGGTTCTCCTGGCAAGGTGTGATGTGCTTGGTGTGTTTTCCGTGCACCCTTCCACGTCAACCAAAAGTGCAGGAGATGCACCTGAAGAAGCTCCGGGCACTGTTCAGCCAGCTGGGCAATGAGGAGTCAGGTGTGATCACCTTCGGCCAGCGGCGTGGCTGTGATAAGTGCATTTGAGCTGCCCATGTTTTGGCCTCAGCAGAGAAGGTGTGAACAGTTGGACGGTCGTGCGTGGTGGTCGAAAGGAGATTGGTACTTGTGAAAGGTTTGGTTTTGGATGATCCACAAATTGGTAGAAATTGGCTTGCCCAAAGTCGGAGCATTAGGTTTTTGCCCGCCTGCACCTCGAATTTGGCGATCTGAAAATAGGGCAACCAGCATCTGGGTTATAAGTCAAGGATCCTGATGTGAGGAGATGTCCACACTGTAAATCCTGAATCCTGACACAGGTTCGAGTCCAAGATTCACTCGCCGGAGGTTCGCGAATACTTCGAGACCCTGGGTTTGGATGCTCCTTGGCTGAAAGCAGGTATGCGGAGACTCTCGAGGCTAAGTGTGAAGCTTTCTGTCACAGCTATTGCCTTATATTGCAGCAGGGCATTTTCTGCCACAGCGATGATAGAGGTTGGTAGTGGCCGCACTTGCACAGTGCACCAGAGAAACGGTGAAACCTCAAGCTAGTACTCCAACACTCAGGTAATTAACAGGACCAAAAGAACATCATTCAAATGAGACACCAAAAGCAGGTTGAGGATGCTTGGAGTTTCTTCAAGCTGCTAGACAGGGATGGTGGTGGCTCTGCCTCTCGGCTCGGACTTTGCTTGAACAACCACATTGTACTTGGCCAACCCAGGGGCTCGCTGTTGAGGGGGTAGGTTATAGAGGCTAACATGGGAACGTTGGGGTATACAGGGTTTAGGGTTTGCAAGATGCAGGGCTCAGTAATCATACTGTCTTGGAGCAAAGAAAGGGGCACTCTGAATTTTGGAGCTGCCCGCATCCCTGCGAAAGAATGGTATCTTGAAAAGTCATTATAAGGAAGATAGAGAACTCCATCATGTGAGCGGCAGTAGGTAAGGGCGCGGGTGGTTCTTGGAAATTATGGGTCCACGTTTGCGTTGCTTCGGGCTTAGAAGTAGAAGGGCTCGTCTTATTATTCTGATGTGAAGTCAGTCCCAATTAGCGGGCTTCACGACTGCAGTCAGCCTCCTCGGAGCCAGCGGTCCGGTAGCTTCTATGGACCCGACTAGGGAAATGCGCGGGGTTGTTGAGCTGCTCGCGTAGAAGCGTTCAGACTTGGGCACCAAAGATTGGCTGCACACAGCAGGGGGGGCAGAGGCCAGTCAGGAGGGCGATCGATCTTGCGCAGCATGCGTTGGCAGACGCTGTGTGCGAGTTACGTCGGACGGGGATGAACTAGTGGAATGGTATACCCTTGGATGCCACATTGTAAATCAAGGTGAGCAGCGGCTTTGTACTAGGATCGACCAGACTAGCGTGAGCTACTAAGTTCGCCGTGTTTTGCAGCTCATAGCAGTGGGCCTGTCCTCCAAGAGAGGCTTGTGCAGCTGATCATCTTCCATGTCACCATGTCGACGTGAGAGCGTCTTTGTCCAGCTTGGCGTGCAAACTGCCATTCGGGCGAGGGGGCACAAAAGTAGCGGAGAAGCTCGAGTTTTTTTGGGCGGTGCCAATTACTCTCAACCACTCCCAGAGTTTGCCCGAGCCCACTGAGGACGGAACCAATTTCGTTTGAGATCTGTTTGCCATCTAAGACACACGTTCGGAGTGTTCATTGCCACTCTTGTGAGGTCGAAATCGGCGAGTTCCTCAAGGGCTGTCTGAGATTCCGAGGCACCGCTGTTTGTGAAAGGGTTGCTTACAATAAGGATCGTGCAGTACGGGTGCAGCAGACCCACGGTGTTTCGCAATACTTTAAGTCAAGACCTTGGACATCTTGCATGGCGTTCGTTGCCCAGTGGTGCAAGGCAACACCTTACCGACGGGCTATCTGGGATGCCCATTGCTCATGAGCATGTTTTGGGAGACCTTTAACGCACAAACCTGCGCAAACCAGGTGAGAGCATTCTTGTCGTAAAAGCTGCAGTGCTGCCCAACCCCCCTGGCCTGCGTAGTTTGGGACTCCCATACATAGGGGAGCTTCCCATAATGAGGGGTACTCGTACCAGTCTGGGAGTCCCGTTATTTTGGGAAACCAGCATGTAGAAGTTGGTAAAGCTTGCAATTCCGCTGTGTACTTTGTGAGGTACACAATTCACAAGGTCGCGTGCGCACCGGGGCAGATAGTCTCCCTTAAGTAGATGAATGTGGGGGATATGGGGATCTTATTATAATTTAACCAAAACCATATTATATCTACTTAGATGGGACTAAATGCTGATATTGGTGATGTTGGTGTGGCGTAGGGATCAGATTAGGTTCTGCTCTAGCAGTGGGAGACAGACCATGATAGGCCTGCCCTCCAAACCCTATATAGTACTTTCCCTAGATACCCCCATAGAACCCTATATAACCCTGTCAAGCCAAAATCTTATACAGGTTACTGTAGTTCGAAGATGCAAGAACTGTGACAAAGAATCCTTTCACAAATGATGTTTGAGTGCTTCTGGCTCCCTGCGCAATTATGCTTGATATCGTGGCTTGCCAAAATCAGGGGACCTCAAGAAGACTCCAGTATACTGCAATCCTCTTTGTTACCCTCAAAATTGTACGCGTACCCCTAATTATGGGAAGCCCGCATGGGTGTGGGCAGAACTCTGCATGACCTACCCCAAGTCGCTACTGTAGTTGATTTAATCCAGATGCAGCTTCTCAACATTACCACTTCTGAGCTCTTAAAAGGGAGGGTCGTCTAGGTCTATCAGGGTTCCCTGTGTTGAGAACCCCTATGCACTAAAACCTTAAAACTCTAGTCCCTCTAGATGTGTGTGTTGAAGCCCAAAACCCCACATCATCACCATATCACCAAAGAAGCTTTAAGGGCATCCCACATTGTAACCTAAGCTCTACAGCGACACCTAAACCTCAAACTCTACAACCCTAAAGCACCATGCAAGTGGCAAACAAAAACGTAAATTCTAAACCGGGATGGAACCTTGCGCTGCTATCTAGACATGCAACAGGCAAAACTCTAAACCCTAACGCCTAAACCCTCTACACACCTTTACACTCTTTGAAAGCGCCCCTCAACGCTTTCAAGCCCACTCGAAACCCTAAGCCCAAGACAGTAATTCCCATTTTCTTTTCCATAATCCCCAGATACCACCCCATAAAACCTTATATAATGCTATATACCTATGTAACCCTATTTAACTTTAGATAGCCCTATACCTCCTTGTATGTCCAAACCCTAAGCCAGGCCAAGCCAGAGCAATTGACATCGGGCAGCTTCTACACGACCAGGGCTGGCTATTGAGAAGCTCTACTGATTGTCAGTAGGGAGTGGAAAACAACATGGAGACTACTATTTACTATTTAGGGTCTAGGGTAGAGAATAAAAATCACATAGAACAGCAAATAGCAAATGAAATTCAATCTTCTGTTTGGTGTTCAGGGTGCAGGGCAGGGAATGGAAGGTCAAATGAAAAAGCACATGGAACAATTGGGGACTTAGAAAGACATATAGGGTGTAGGGTTCAGGGTTTTCTTGCTGCTCGTTAGCAGGGAATGGAGGACCGGAAAAGACATGGAAATTATTATTCAGGGCTTGGGGAGTGGGAAAGATATATGGAAACTATATGTTCTTGACGATTTCAGGTCCCTTGGAAGGGTTTAGAATAGTCTTTTCATTTCATCTCATCTTTCGCTCATGATGATGGAGAATCAAGCGGAACATGGAACGGCTGCAGTCATAGTAATAACAATGAAAACAGCAGCGGTAGTATGAGTTGTAATAGTCAATACTCTGCTCGGGTTTCATGGGGACATATATGGGATATGCAGATGGCAGGGCGTACGGTGTAGCGTGTCACACTCTTGATGGCTCACATTCTCCCGAATGAGCTAAGTCATCTTGCGCGAGAAGCACATAGGATCTTGGCAAGTAGAAGTTGCAAGTGGCTTGAACTGAGCATCCCAAGCCTATAGTCCCCCTTTAAGTAGCTAGAATATGGGGTATATGGGGATCTTTATACAGTACTGGGCAATTCTATATTCTATCTACTGAAGGGGGTGACTATGGTTGCACGAGTCGAAACTTAATGCAAGGCAACCTGAGTGTTTTCACGAACCCTGACTAGTTGGGTGGTCAGATAGAGGTTATATAGGGATAATGGAAAAGCGAATGGAAACTATAGGGATTATAAGGGTTATATAGGGGCTATATAAGGGTCATATAGGGATAATGAGCGAGAAAATGGAAACTATAGGGGTGATATAGGGGTTGTATTGGGCATTCGCTCCTATAAATTCATGCTTTCATCGCTGGCTCCCTTCCCCTCCCGCCTGGTAGCAAGAAAAGGGGCTTGGAGGAAGTTGGTCTATGCCACAGTCCGAATTTAATGTATTTGGAGCAGGATGCCACTCCCGAACCCTAAGCCCGAAACCCTAAACGAGCTTCTGTTACTAAAGCTGTTGCATGGAAAAGGACACCAGAGCAGATTTCACACCTATATGGAGATGGAGCACTCAAAGCTGAGGCTCCGGGGCAGCAGGGATTTGTTGAAGGTTAAGATAGAGGTCATGGGGTAGGGTTTAAGTATCATACTTTGGTAATGGAGAAGCAAATGGAAAAGAACATTGAACCTGAAATGGAAACTGAGGTGGTGAGAAATGGGAGCGGAGGGATTATTGAAGGGGTGGTAGGCATGGATACCGGAGACATCATGGTAGTCAGGGGCTGTACAGTAGAGAGTCCCCTCCTGACCGTCAGCAGCTTCTGTCCTTGACCTATCTCGCCGTGAACTAAATTGTGGGCATGTGCGTCATGATGTTGTGCCTTTTCTCCGTGGTAAAGCAATGAGGAAATGGCAGCGAAGAGGTAAGGAATGAAATGCTAGGGACAGAACAGTGGAAGCAGACTGGTAATGGATCTGAGACTGGTTCCAATATTCACTTGGCTTTTGCTGTGTCAATGCCTGTCAGGAAGCAGATCTCCTCATTGACAGCCATGTTGACGGGCTCAGATAGCCAGTCAACTAAGCGCCGAGCAAGGATAGCGGATGAGCCAAGCCAGAAAGGCTCTGCATCCACAGAAGGACCACGCACGAAGCTTGTGTAGCCTTTTCCTGAGTAGGTCTATATCACGAAGTACATCGCAGGTCATCTAGATGAAGATGCCCTGCGTTTTCCAGTGTTAATGTCCAAGGTTGGTGCCTCTTTTTTGAATCATCGGGGCCCTACTGCAACAAAAAGGGGGAGAAGGGCCCATCGCTTGAACTATCCTTGCCATGTTGGATTCCAAGAGTTGGCATTCTCTGAGCTATTCCTGCTTCTGCCACTCCCCCAATATCCGCTTGGATTGCGTTTCCGTAGGAAATGGGCGTTTCTCACAGTTGAGGTCCCTGCAGAATACCCCCACCGCGAATGCCCAGTATTATGAGGACTCGAAGAAGGAATCATGCTTTTGAGAAACTTCCAAATGGTCTTGTATTTCCTGTGCTCGCTTAACTTAGGATTTGCAATACGCAGCCAAGCAGTCACTCGATGGTGACATTGTTGTTGGAGCTTCATAGTTCTATAGGGACTAATGCAGGGATATAGAATGTATGACCGGCTCCAGTAAGCGGATATATGGGTGATGGAAAACAAACAGGAAACTACTATTTCGGATTTAGGGTTG